ATTTCGGCCAAAGACGGAATTTTGCCGGAGACTATACTGGTCGACGCATAAAATGTATTACTTTCAAAATGCGCCAGTTTAATTTGTATGAAATTTGGGCCATCCGTTTTAAAACGCCACCACTATCCTCTACAAGGGACACTGGGATGAAGTCCTCAATCTTTACTATACACTTTTCATGAATCCTTTAAAAAGTTAGTGGGGGTGTTGATTTTCGCTTGCTGCGTGAGAGTACTTTCAACGTTCTTGCTTTAATTACTGGACAGAAGATGAAGGTTTGATTTTGCTTTAGGATTTCGGCACGGGGCCGATCGCACGACAACGGGTAATATTACTTTGGGGTGTCTTATTAGCAAAAACTAGTAACAGTTTAGCTAACACCGAGGTCAGCCGGACCTAAAGCATTGTTTAAGAAAACCCTCATTTTGAAAAATAAAGTTGACCAAAACGACCGAAGAGACAGAAAGGTTATGCTAAACTCAGTCGTAATCGTCGCAACCGACCGCCTAAATAATGGCACTTGAGTTATTATGGCTAGCCACCTTGCTCTACAAAGGTTTGTCAAAAACAGCAGTTATATCTTAAAATGTCTGTAGTGCTATGTTTATTCGAGAGTTCGGATAGTTATAAAACTCAAGAACAGAAAACGTGCCACAATTACCGGGCAAATATTTGACCTACTGAGTGAAAACTTGATCTTTATACATATGATAAAACAGCCATTTTATCTTTATAGTTGAATTATGCTTAGTTTTCGTTTGGTTCGATCTCTGCCATTTAGAACACAAATATCTTTATTCGCTATCTCATGTTGATCATGGCAGTTGCCGACCGCCAAATATTAATTAAATTTGAAGACTTTCTTTTTCCATTAATATTTCTTTGGAATAAATAAAGGAATCAGTATTTTCTAATTGACAGTTAAACTAAAAGAGCAGTTGATCGTGCCCCAAATGAACCTTAAATCTCTGTCGGCTATCCAGCAATGTATTTGTCCAAGGTTTATTTTTTTCCTAGAAAATCCAATTTGCAACTCTAGTTGTTTGATTGAATTTTAACAGGGGAGAACTTCTTCAAGCCCTGTGTAACGCCTTGGTCTCCACACAGAGGGCCATTTATCAGCAAGTCCAAATGAATTGCCTGGAAAAAGGTAGAAAGATTTATTTGTTCGATAGCGTTTAAGTTGAAAGATAAATGTTTGAGAGCATTCCTTGTAAACGTTTACCTACAGGCTTGCATCGTTAACCATATGGTTATAAACCTGTTCGGTGGTCTATGGCAGGTGCTTTTTTTAATAAAGTCCCGCACTGAAATTGGTAAAATGCCGTTTCAGTGAATTCTCTGTACTCGCTCTGGGCAGTAGTTTTCGAATTAACTAAAATATGGCACAAACAGCAGAAAACGCAATTGACATTTATTTGTTTTCACGTCCCCCACTGGTCCGTTAAAGGGCTCGCAAAACCTTTTGGCACCTCGGCTTGCAAAAGATTAAAACAAGACTTTGCGCAGTCAAACCACCGCGCGGTTGTTAAGCGCGGGCCGCCACGAAGACGTCATTGTGACCTTATGTTCGCTTCACCGATTATCGCCAATCAAATAGTAGTCTTGTACCAGACTTTGCGAAAATGGTCATTAGGTTGGACAGAACTGTCCTGGGCAGATGAAGTAAGTGTGCACAAGCGTTGTATTTAAGAATTCGACGGATGACAGTATACAAGCTGACTGAATTCTAATAATTACTGACCGAGCATCACACCAAGACTGCACTATCATTCCCCTTATCTTAAATTTCTCATACATTAAGTCAAACCAGCCAGCCGACTCTACTCTAACATCGATTTAGTAGCGGTCATTTTACATAGCCAAAGTCAGGTGCTGAAAACCTTCAGGCAGTACCTTGTCCGTTAAGTGACCGTTTAAATATGCTAAGGTGTTTTTTACAGGACTTGCTTTCGTAGCTGCACTTTCATTTTTTATGCATGTTTTAGCTTCTTTGTCTAAGATTTATACACTGGGGATTTTTCGTTGCTTATATGTTTGATTGCAGTCGAGCTTACATATCTCATTTTGATCTCAGTAGAAGTAGTCTATGCAGTCAAAAAGAATGCAAAATGTGAACGAAACGTCCGCGCGGAATTTCTCTTGGCGAGTTGATTTCGCGTCCGTGATTGGTGGAGATAACCCTTGGTCATATTAGGAATGGTTGGTGCCTAACAGATGTCTGCGAGTGCGGCTACGACCTAACTAACCTAGCAGATCTTGCGACAGCGATATAGTCCTCATAAGTGAATACGAAGTAATTGCACTTATCTATGGTTAGGCAAAGTCCGACCTAGACACTTGTCTCTCAACAAAATGCAATTTGGAACAAAAATTTATTCTTTAATGTCTCACTGCCTTTCGACTGTTGAGGTGTGAAGACATTTTAGGAGAAACAGAGTACTGGGTACGTGCAGTTACTGCATCTTTCTCACACCGCAATATTTTCCTCATGCACAGGAACCCTGCCAGTTAACGCGTCTAGTCTTTTAAAATTTTGAGATGGAATTGTACACAATTATGCCATTTATTTTTAAACCAAAAGACTCTGTTTTAGAAATATTGCAAAGTATCAAAAGAGGAAAATATTCGGATGCAGTATATAGATATCTGAATTTACTTCTAGGCTAAATAAATTAATGTTTTGAATTGTCTCGGTTTATACAGTTTTCAGGATACGCAATATTTTGAGTAAACGAGTTGGACGTGGTCCCTCGTCTTGAGTTTTAAATAGTGTATTCTTTTACAGACGTGTAAACTGTACTTCTATAAAAAAGAGGTTTATTTAATTGTTTGTCATTCGACTGAGTGAAATCATGTAAATAGGAATCGCACGCAGCCAACCATTTTGAGCGACTCCGATGACTTTTTTACATAAAAATACTACCTGATAAGCGTGTCTATCTTATGCATGAAAAAGGCCTTCAGTGCGATTCATGTGAAACGTTCAGTAGCCCGAAAACTGACTTATCTTATGATTAAGACAGTTACTAGATATTGGCTGCACAAACATTTAGGGCTCACCGGTAGCTTAGGCGTTAGAGCGCCGAATGTAGACGTGTAGGAATGGCAGTTAATTTGTATCTTGGGATGCCAAACGTCTGTAGAATAAGTAGTTTTCTTATGCCTGTTTCTTTGTTTCCTTTCAGGCCTGTTAAAGTTAACTTATTTTTAGTCTGACTCGAATAGCATGAATGTTAGGCGACATGTTCAGCGAGATTTTTACCGCAGCAAAAAATTTTAGAAAAGCGACTTCAATCCTTGAAATAAAATCTGTTTAAGAGTCTCAGTTAAAATCTTTCTTCGGTTCGTGGTTATTTTTATTCCCGCCCCTTACTGTTCAACTACACAAAACCGTTCTTACCAAAATTAAGTAGAAACCTGCAGTAACATAATGTCCGAAAAAATGATGCGGTATAAATAGGCAAGGAAACTTTTGCCTTACCCCACTGCTTTTTAAAATATTAATGATGCAAGTTGCTTTGCTAATTGTGTTAAGGAATTCAAAATTCTTGTCTCTTAATAATGCTCTTTTAAGTAGCGTATGTGTGAGCACCAATCCTTCTTCAAATTTGACCGGGTCTATTCTTTGTGGAAAATGCCTTGCTTTTAATCGCAGTTAAATTTGTGCATAGGGCTGCTGTAATTTCACTAAACCAACTGGTTGAATAATGTCTTTATAAACGTTAGTCGACGACCAAAGCCTCGCACGTCAATCGAGCTCCCTTAACTAGCAGATATATTTATCGTGGGATAGTTTTCGGAAAGTGTCGAGTAAATGCTATTAAAACATAAGTCATGCAAGTCCCTTCCAAGTCACCAGGTCTTATAAATGTGCTTACTGTATTTTGTGGAAGTGCCTGCAGATGAAACTTGATTTTCTGTGCCCAATACAGAGTCACATCCGTTGGATACGGCTTGGTAATTTTGAAAACTACTTGGTTGTGCAAAACTATATATTTAAGACTTCATTTGTGTATACTCTCAAGTCTCCCAAATTTTGTAACAGATGTAATTCTAAGTAACTTCAATAAAAGATATTTTAGGCGAAAAGATCGCGTCAAATTTGGAATAGAAAAAACTAACGTCACCATTTGCATAGCAAATGGACCTAGGCCTTTCTATCTAGATTAGATATAAGTAATTAAAAGCTTTGTGACATATATTCGATTTCCAAACTGATGCTTTTTTGCTCAGAAGACTGGTTTCCGAAAAAAATGATATTGTGCACACGTTCAACAAAAATATGAAATGTTTATGTTAGTCAAATTTGCTCACACCCAAAATGCAGAAAATCATTCTTGATAATGTGAAAATCTTAGCCAGATTCATTGTTGATACCAATGATGGTCTAGACTGGTCCTAGCAAAATGTGCAAAAGACGTTTAAGAAAAAGATGATGATAAAAATAGATATAAAACGTTAGTGTGGGATATTTTTAATAACGCAAATGTGACCCAAACTACCTACCTCCTCCCAACTACACAGAAGACCGTAAAGGATAACTCACTTCCCTCGCTAGACATGGCATCTTCTGGGTGTATGTCCTGCAGGTCTACAGGCATATTGCACATGCTTTGTCATTTTATTGAACGATGCGCATGACGTTTGTTCCTTCTTGCTGCTGCCTCCGCATCACCTTTCTTCTTACGCATCACTTGCTTCCGTGTAAGTCAGTGTCTTGACAAATGCACAGGAAACGGACAAAGTGAACTAGTAGAGAATATCCTATTTCACTACATCATTTCAAATTTTACCAAACATGGCATTTGCTCGAAAGCTTTGCGGGCTCTACAGCTGGTGATATGCAGGAATGTCTTTCAAATGAAAAATTAATAGTTTTACTTTCGAGGGAGTCTGAAGCTTGTTTTTGCTTGGTATTTTTCAAATTTAGTGCTGACATGCGAAGACGGTCCGGTCGTTATGTTACGGTTCTTGGCCTTATTTTTACTTCAATAACCATGTCCCAATTGGATCAGAACGTATTCTCACAGCCATTGGTACCAGGTTTTATGTACATGAATTTGACAACACGGCGGAATATAGGACGATTTCTGAAGACCGTGAATTCACATTCCTCGCAATCTATCATTTTCACCCGACCGACGAGTGGCAAAGATACAACAACAGTGCGTTCGTTTTTCTTAATACCAAGCGTGTCAGCGACAGATCCTGACGCAATCTGCCCACGTAGGTTTATCGATTTTTGCCCTTCATTTTAAAGAAAATGTTTACATCTTTTGTATTGTGATGACAATACTTCAGGCACCTTTATATAATGTTTACAAAGATCAAGACCTGAAAAGAACTTGACTTCATATACCATGCCGTTTCGGGAAAACTGAGTCATAGTTTGTACCAAAACACATCTTTGTCCTAAAACGTCCAATTCAAAATAATATTAGACTCAACGGCCACTGCTGTATACATATGCTGAACCGTGTCATTAGTAAATTCACTTGCCTCCTCAAGAGCTACGCGAATCATATTCCTGAGTTGTTTTTTATGGATGTTTTCAAATTTATTGGCTCACCTACAGTTTTAGTTAAATCAGTATGCCTTGACTTTGAGCTCGTTTGTGCTGTTTGTGGGCAACCGAATGCTCTATTTGAATCTTTCTCGTCTAAGTTTTTGAGAGCGTTACGTCATTCACCTAGAATGGGAGACCAAATTTATATTCTATTACAAAAACGCAAAAACGTTTCGAAGTTTGATATCTGTTTCGAATTTCGGTTGCAATTGCATTCACAGGAATGGAGTATTAATTCGGGATCCTCTTTATTTATTTTGAACAAATAATTCAAAGAAAGCTTTTATACATCAAACTAACTTACTGCATTAGTCGAGAAATTTTTTGCGACCAAAGTTTCTACGCCGTCTTTGTTTTGCATAAAGTTCATCAAATCGCTTGCGTGGAGTGTCGCTCTGATCTTGAGAATTACTGCCATGATCCCTTCAATCGAAGTCTACTTACGTTCAATCAAATAAGAACAAGGCTTTGTGATGGATACTGCGTGAAATGGATACGAGCATCACCAAATAAAAAGCGTACGTCTATTACATAATGTTTGCACTGGAGAAGAACCCTCTAAACCTCTTTAATAGGAAAATATCCTGTTAAATGTCTTTGACGTTTTCAGATTTATGTTTTAATAGCCAACACGATCGACTTAAAGGATAACTTTTGGGCCATTTTTGAAATACGTTTCATATTTTCTAAGTCTCCCTTTTGCGCATTCATGCTGAGCAGTTACTTCGCAAAACTATTATTTGACCTTATTAGAAGGAAAAACGGCTGCGCAAAGTTTCAGTTTTGCGTTAATCGAAAAGAAATTTAGGACCACAATAAATAAAATTTTTTTCCGGGGATAAATTTCTGTTGCTTAGTCTACTTGTCAATATATATTTCGTCGATTTTTTAAATCAGCCCGATTTATTTAAAACATTTTAGAGGGAAACATCATTGTTCGAACATGTTCAAGCAATCTACGTATGAAATTTCAGATAAATCTGGTATGCTTCCAAGAATCGAAGGCAGGTGACCGCGTCCTTTGCTTCTGCAACCAGCCTAGGTGTAATTCTGGCGCAACCATAAAGCTCACCTCTTCCTGTTGTATTTTTTGTGTGATCTTACTGCCCATCATGGTGTTCGTTTTTCTGTCCTGATGGGCAGTTTCAAGGGAACCGCATTTAAATGGTTAACGTTAGGCATATCGAGCTCTCATATAAGATTTACTTTATATTTCGAGCTCCCAGTGCCGTCATTTGTTTACAAAAAGAAAGGTTGTGCAATCCCCGAACATACATTAAAGTGCCATCGTATGTTAAAGCCCTTCATACTGATTTATTTTTCTTTTGTGAATATTTTCTCTATTAGTTATCAGAAGAAAATGTATTTCCATACTCGGTCTTTTTTATTGAAGTTATAAACATAGAGATCACAGGTTTATGTGCCAATGGCGTTTGAAATATCGGTAGCTACGCAGTTGAAATTACATGATGGCAATTGCCTTGTCCCTTGCTAACGACCTTTGATTAGCTCTTGAATTGCATGTAACGCATAGTTGTAGTATTCGCAAGCATAAGATATACGTTACCGTTGATAATCTCGTCCCTACGAAAGGTGTATAATGAAGCTTTGGAGAAGGATTTCGCTGAAGAGTCTTCTATCTTCTCATTTCAATAGTATCTGCTAGACGATTTTGAGTTTTTATTACTAAAGACCAAGTTTTCTCGTAAGGGTTGGTTAGAAAAAACAAAAATTGGAAAAATATGATCCAGGTAATTCTTATCAGGTAATTTTTAGTCGCCGAGAGGTTTAAATTAAATGCTTCCTCAGTCGCTTAATAGGCAAACATAAATATCACTTGACCAAAAAATTGTTTGCAGGTAAAGTCAAGTTACATTAGATAAAATTGTTGCATTTTCCAAACTTTTAGGAAAGACAGGCATATTCGAAAAAACTCTCTTTTGCCCTGGAGCATATGGGTACGGAAAACGGAACAATTGCACATCTTAAAAAGGGTCTTTTTGTGGAATATGAAATGCCAAAAGCTGTCAAACCTCGAAAATGTCACCGAACTTTCAGTCCAATAGAAAATGGAGTTAAGAGATAACCCACTGGTTCGCGTATCTAACGAGGCAGGAGCACATATGCAAATGGGTTACTTTTTGCTGCAGACTTCCGTCGAAATATTACAGTCATATGTGATTCTGACAGTTTTGATAATGGCTGTAAGGAAAAGGATCCAGTGAGAGAGAATCGTTTCTTCAGCGAGTAGGGAATGTAGAATCAGCACAGTAAAGCCCGCGTTCCAAGCGCATCTACGTGCGCTACGGGAGGTCATTAACAAAGCTGAATTAATGATTTAAGTGATCCTATGTGTATAAGCAGTTTATACGGAACCGATAACGCTGTAAATGAAGGTGCGTGACCATATCTTTTCATGCCGTTACAACGAAATAATATCATACCCCTAAATGATGGAATTTGTGGAACGTTTGAATGTTTAAAAGGAGTCATAAAATCTTTGATACTAGGTAATACGCATATGTTAGTTACTGTCCGGTGCAGTCTGTGGACGAAAAACTCTCAAGATATATTGAGCAGCCTTGCAAATAAGATACTTGAAAAGGAACAAATGCTCTTAAAACGATTGCGAAGAACGAATTTCTTATGAGTTTGCTAAGAAACAAGCTGATTATGAATCAAACACAGACATAAAAATTAGAGACATTACAACTTACGCATTTTCGCCAGGGAAGTTTGACTTGAGGTCACGTATTTAGGGCCGTCCTACCAAGTGGTATAAGAAAACTTGAGTCATAGTTACCTCTACATTTCGTCGAAAATACGGTTAACCATATTGTTCTGGGCTGATAATTAAAAACCAGATGGCGTAAAGGACCAGATAGCACCAATATCTAGCCTATTTACTCACACGTTTGCTTTACATCTATAGCATATTATTTTTCCGCAATCCTTATGCCTTTCTGTAGTAAATAAAAATTTAAGCAGACACGTGATATGGGTAGGTAAGACATAAATACCGCTACGGGTGTTTTAAACACACATTCAAAATATTCATAGAATTAGCATAATTTCAAAACCAACCGGCCACTGATGTGCAGAGCTAAATAATGATTTGAGAAATTCAACAAATAGGTTAAAAATAAATACAAGGTGTCCTTATGGTTTTCGACGCTTTATAATTAATCATTGTTTTAACCTTGCATTTTTTGTTGGCGTATATAAACGCAGGACAAAGAATGACGACCGATACTAGGTAATCTGAGAAATACTGGTTCAACATATCTCTCTGTTTGTTCGGATCCGCAGAATAAAAAATCAGAGTTTATAGTGAAGATAAAAACACAATACTAAACCATTTAAACAGGACTTGTTCTAGAATAATTACCTTTTGTAGTAGCCTTCGCAGACAGAACAAATACCGTCAACCGGGGTAATGAGTTTTCACAGCAACAATCGAATCTTTATAAGAGGGCAGCTCTGTCATATACTAGTTCTAGACCTAGGGTCTTTTCGCGATGCTCTTGACCCAATTGTCTGCTGTATCTCGCCGTTTGCTGTCTTTAGTAAAGTCTGTTGTTTTGCATCTAACTCTGGATAAAAAATTTCTGTGCACGCTCAGGACAGCTGACGACTAGTTGACAAATGACTTTCACTGCGGTCGCTCGAACCATAAAAGTAGACTCTATGAAGTTAACTTAAAAGGATTCTATTGAGCAGAGGCCCTGAAAAAAAGATAAAATGCATCAAACAGATGAACTTTCAACGTAATTGCGCAGACTCTGTGGCCAGCAAGTGCTGACTAACATCCGTTTCCTTATACCAGACACATCGGCATGACTAATCAAGCGAGCAGTAATATTATTTTCACCTCATTACGCCTGTCCTCCCTATATCGTTCTCACGAATCATGTTAGGATTTGTACAAATAAGCTGAGGCCGTACCGGTCTCAGTAGCGCCTACTTCGTTCACGTGCTAGGTTTTCTTCCAACAGCCCCCAAGAGCACGCCCTGAGATAGTAATTCTTTCAAAATCTGTCCATGTTAAATACTGCATATCAGTGTTCATACACGATATTATGTCGATAAAAGATATTTCGATATAACGGGGTGACAACATTTTCATAGGACTTGTTGGCCTGAAGCGCAAATACCTCAAAAAGAGAGCTTATAGGAAACCTCAACAGATTATCCGGCTATTGCCTGGTTCCAGCAGTATTACGGGACGCTTTTGACAAAAAATGACGCCAGAAGATTTTACGGACCCAAGTCTTTGCATTATAGATTGAAATCGGTAAGCAATAATATTAAAAAGAAGGGGGACGCCCAATAGTAGAGTAATAGTGGCACACTAGTGTGCATTTAGTATTTTTTAGGTTAGTTCAACAGCAAAGAATGCTAAGATTTAGCGGAACATATCACCAGTCAAGCATTGTGGTCCCATTGAAAAAATGCTGGGTAGATGGCACCATGACATTTGTTGCTTATTTAGAACTGCCAATTCACTTTCGTTTGACCACTCCCGCTATTTTTGTCAATGGAAATTCAACGTATTATCATTTTACAATGTTATGATGTATGCTCCTGTTGTTTTTCGGCCAAATGAAGGCAAACTTGCTCGGAGAAAAGTTTACCCGATTTCTAATGGGACCGAGTACGAATCAAAACAGCTAGATGCTGACAGGTATTTTTGCAACAAAAACAATTCCGTTTCCCTTAAATGTATTATCATACACTTTGTTAGTTTAGAATTAAGCAGAAATCATGACTTCGACATTTCTGCCATTCGTTTATCCGAAAATAGTAATGTAAACCTGAAATCTTTCTAGTGGATACATGAAAGACAATTGAGTTCGTAGGTCCATAACAGATATTGTATGCACCATTCTGTTTTTAATGCCGTGGAAGGTAGAAAACGCACTTAAGAAAAATCGTTCGCTGAAGCGAAATAATGCATAAGTCCTAAATAAGACACTACGAGTCATCTTAATTTCCGACAGTTTACGTGTTTTATTTCCAAAAAGGAATTATATCTAAAAACCCTTTCAAAATGAGAACAAATAGGGTAAAATGTCCGCTCTAAAATACGCACAGGTAAGAAAACCTCGAAAGATTTCAGATGTTCCGCAAATATTCCATCATACATTTGAAAAGTCAAGTGGACAAACAAGCATCTTCGGTGACTGTTCTTCAGGCCATGGAGCAATGAAAATATACAAAATTAACAGTGTTTATAGGTGTTTTAAGGGCTTTTAAGTCAGTCACACTCATCTTACCAAGCAGCCTGCATGATGAGGTCGGCGGATTTCAGTCTTCAAGGCTAGCGGATAGTTATTCGATAAGAATCAAGGGATCGATGCCAAGGAAGCATTCCGGATTGTCTACCAGGCACTAACAAGCTTCTCTTAAGAGCCTACGCGAACGGGTGCTGGCAACGGCTGAGACAGTGGTCATACGTCTAGCGAATCCATTGCTGTGTTGTCAGAAAACGCTGATACAAGCGCTCTCTTTACCGTTGCCAACGCCAACCTCAAGTGATGTCGACATGCCGTCTCAAATCCCTAATTGCAATGATAGTACCTCCGTTTACTCAATCTGAGACCTCATTCAAAGACTTTGTCACCTCCACCTCTAGCTCCGAAGACCAAAACCCGCCGACCTCATCATGCGGGCGACATGGTAAGATGAGTGTGAATGACTTAATAGCCCTTGAGACACCTATAAACACTGCTAATTTTATATATTTTTTACTCCTCAGTGTAATTGTATTGGCCTGTCGAAGAATTACCGAAAACGTATGTCTGTGAACTTGACATTTCAAACGTTGTTGTGTGGTTCGAGAAATAACTCAAGAATTCGGAAATTTTAATGCGTCAATGGTGACTTCTTGAAACAGGTTATGAGTGCTACGCTTTCCCTGATACCTATTTCTAGGCTTTTACACGTGAATATGCGTTAATGGATATTGCCACAACGTTGTATCTTGAGGAATTGTCTCCTAGATGAGATGGGCCAAGCGGTGTTGAGGGAAGTACTCCTTACAGTAAGTGGCTAAATCAAAAAAT